AGGCTGGATGTGCAGTGGCATAATCTGGGCTCACTGCAATCTCTGCTTCCCAGGTTAAAGCAATTCTCCTGTCTCAGCCTCCTGCATAGCTGGGATTACAGGCATGCACCACCATGCCCAGCTAATTTTTGTATTTGTAGTGGAGACAGGGTTTTGCCATGTTGACCAGGCTGGTCTTGAACTCCTGACCTCAGGTAATCTGCCCACCTCGGCCTCCCAAAGTAGTAGGATTACAGACGTGAGCCACCGTGCCCAGCCTGAATTAATAATTTTTAATAAAACCTCCCAACATGAGATTTAAGCTTACTTCTTGAAAAAAATCTCCCAACAAAGAGAATTCCAGGACCAGATAGTGTCACAGGTGAAATCTACCAAACATTTACAGAAGAATTAATGCCAATCCTACTCAAAATTGTACAAAAAATTGAAGAGGAAGGAATTCTTCCAAACTCATTTTATAAGACCAGCAATATTCTGACACCAAAGCCAGATAAAAACACTGTAAGAAAAGGAAATTACAGACCAATATCCCTGATGAACACAGATGCAAAAATACTCAACAAAATACTGGCAAACCAGATTGAACAGCCTACTAAAAGGATCATTTACCATGATCAAGAGGGATTTATCCTTGGGATGTGAGAATTGTTCAACACACACAATCGGCAAATGTGATACACTATGTTAATAGAATGAAAACTAAAAGTCATATGATCATCTCAATAAATGCAAAAACATGCATTTGATGAAACACAACATCCTTTCATGGTAAAAACTATTAACAAATTAGGTATAGAGGGAATGTGCCTCAATATACTAAAGGCCATATATGACAAGCCCACAGCTAGTATCATACTCAACAGTGAAAAGTCAAAAACTTTTCTGCTAAGATCAGGAATAAAACTCTCATCATTTCTATTCAATGTAGTACTGTAAGTCCCAGCCAAGCAATGAAAGAAAGAAAGAAAGAGAGAGAGAGAGAGAAAGACAGAGAGAGAAAGGAAGGAAGGAAGGAAGGAAGGAAGGAAGGAAGGAAGGAAGGAAGGAAGGAAGGAAGGAAGGAAGGAAAGAAAAGAAAAGAAAGAAAGAAAGAAAGAAAGAAAGAAAGAAAGAAAGAAAGAAAGAAAGAAAGAAAGAAAGAAAGAAAGGAAAGAAAAGGAAAGGAAAGGAAAAAAGAAAAGAAGGAAAGAAAGAAGGAAGGAAAGAAAAGAAAGAAAGAAGAAAGAAAGAAAAAGAAAGAAAGAAAGAAAGGAAGGAAGGAAAGAAGAAAGAAAGGGAAAGAGAGAAAGAGAAAGGAAGGGAAGAGGAAGGGGAAGAAAGGGAGGGAAGGAAGGAAGGAAGGAAGGAAGGAAGGAAGGAATCAAAATAGGAAAGGAAGAAGCAAAATTGCGTCTGTTTATAGATGACGTGATCTAAAGACTCCACCAATAATTAGGACTAATCAACAAATTCAGTAAAGTTGCAGCTACAGAATCAACACCAAAAAATTAGTTGTATTTCTATCAACTAACAATGAAATATCTGAAAAAGAAATAAAGAAAATAACTGCATTTATAATAGCATCAAAAACAATAAAATACCTAGGGAACACATTTAACCAAGGAGGTGAAAGACTTGTACATTGGACACTATAAGATACTGATGGAAGAAATTGAAGAATATACAAATAAATGGAAAGATATTCCATGTTCGTGGATTGGAAAAATTAGTATTGTGAAAATATTCACACTACCCAAAGCAATCTAAAAATTCATCAATTTCTTGTCAAAATTCCAATTGCATTCTTCACAGAAATAGAAAAGACAATTCTAAAATTTGTATGGAACTACAAAAGACCCCAACTAGCTAAAGCAATCTTGAGAAAGAAGAGCAAAGCTGTAGGCATCACATTTCCTGATTTCAAAGTATATTACAAAAGCATCGTAATCAAAACAGTATAGTACTGGCATAAAAACAGATAAATAGATCAATAGAACAGAATCAAGACCCCAGCAATAAACCCACACATATACAATCAGTTAATATTTGACAAAGGTACCAAGAACACACAATGGGGAAAGGATCATCTCTTCAATAAATGGTGCTGGGAAAACTGAATATCCACATGCAAAAGAATAAAATTGGGCCTTTATTTTACACCACTCACAAAAGTTACCTTGAATTGAATTAAAGACATTTAAATGTAAGACCTGAGATGGTAAAAATTCTAGAAAAAAAATAGAAAAAGTTGCTTGACATTAGTCATTGCAATTACTTTTTGGATATGACACCAAAAGCAAAAGTAACCAAAGCAAAATAAATAAGTAGCTACATCAAGCTAAAAAGTTATTGCACAGAAAAAAAAACCCAGTAAAACAAAAAGGCAACTTACAGAATGGGTTAAAATGTTTGCAAACCATATATCTGATAAGGGATTAATATCTAAAATATACAAAGAACTCATACAACCTAATAACAAAAACTTATAATCTGATTTTAAAATGGGCAAAGAACCTGAATAGACATTTCTCCAAATAATGTGTACAAGTGGCTAACAGCTACATAAACAGGTGCTCAACATCTCTAGTCACCAAGGAAATGTAAATAAAAACCACAATGAAATGTCACCTCTCACATCAGGATGACTGTTATCAAAATAGACAAAAGATATGTGTTAGTAAGGATGGAGAGAAACAGGTACACTATTAGTGGAAATGTAAATTGATACGGCCATTATGGAAAACAGTATGGAGTTTCCTCAAAAATTAAAGCTAGAATAACCATATGGTCTAGCAATCTCACTTCTGAGTATATATGCAATGGAAATGAAATCAGTAGCTCGATGAAATACCTGCACTCCCATGTTCATTTCAGCATTATTCACAATAGCCAAGACTTGGAAACTACTAAGTGTCCATTAATGGGTAAATGCATAAAGAAATTGTGGTGTGTGTTTATATATATGTGAGTGTGTGTATGTATGACAAATATTCAGCCATTAAAAAAGGAAACACTGCCATTTGTGACAATATAAATGAACCTGAAGGACATGTTTAATGAAATAAATGATACAGAAAGACATATACTGTATGATCTCACTTATACGTGGAGTCTAAAAAAGTTGAACTTAATAGAAACAGAGAGTAGAATAATGGTTGCCGGCACTGGAGGCTAAGGAGACATACGGAGAGGTTGATCGAAGAGTACAAACCTTCGGTCGTAAGATAAACACGTTCTGGAGAGTTAAAATACAGCATGGGTGGTGACAGATGTGTTAATTTGATTTTGATAATTATTACACAATGCATTTTTATATAAAAGCATCACATTGTACACTTTGAATGTGAGATACACAATCTAAATTGTCAATTAAATATTTGAAAATAAGAGAAGAAAAAATGATTTTAAAAAACAGCTGTTGAACTTTGCAGTTTGGGTGATACTGAGGTTTTCCAGTGAAGGTTTTCCAGTGACAGAGCAGCCACGTTAGCAATTTCTTTGGAAAGCTTTCTGTCCTGTGTGGCAGTGAGACGCAGAACTGTGGTCATTTGTTTGCGTCCATTCTCAATATTTAATGTAAAAGAGGGTATTGATAATTGGCGAGCACTGTATTGCACAAAAGGAGGGAGGGTAGACTGCTGATGTCAGTATCTCCCCGTGGATTTTCCTCCCTAACCTTCCCTGATAAACAACTGACTCCCTGACAGTAGTGAACATGCTCGACAGGGGCAATAGAAAATCAGGAGCAAACTTTCATGCCCAGCAGCTGCCCAGCAAGAGCTTTACTCTTCTAAATGTTAAAAAACTTGAATTATGTAAGCTAGAAGTGAATGTACTGTGAACTTCTTTCAATTTCTTGCAGTTCTCTCGCTGATAAGGTTTGTGGGAAAGAATTGCAGTCATGTAGGTCACTTCAGTGCACTAGTACAAAAACTTGTGCTAGGAACTAAATTTTGTGTGCCCCCAAAATTCATATGCGAAAGCTCTAATCCCCAATGTGATGGTATTTAGAGGTGGGACCTTTGGGAGATAATTAAGTCATGAAGGTGGAGCTCTCATGAATGGGATTACTGCCCTTATAAGAAAAGACACAAGCTGGCTGGGTGCAGTGGCTCATGCCTGTAATCCTAGCACTTTGGGAGGCTGAGGCAGGAGGATCACTTGAGCTCAGGGGCTCAAGACCAGCCTGGGCAACATAGTGAGACCCTGTTTCTATTTAATTTTTTATGAAAGAAAGAGAAAGAAAAAAAGGAGAGAGAAAGGGAGGGAGGGAGAGAAAGAAGGAAGGCAGGGAGGGAGGGAGAAAGGAAGGGAAGGAAGGGATATAGAGGGAGAGAGAAGAAAGAAAAGAAAGAAGGAAGGAAGGAAGGAAGGAAGGAAGGAAGGAAAGAAAGAAAGAAAGAAAGAAAGAAAGAAAGAAAGAAAGAAAGAAAGAGAGAGAAAGAAAGGAAAGAAAGAAAAAAGAAAAAGAAAGGAAAGAAAAAGAAAGAAAGAAAGAAAGAAAGAAAGAAAGAAAGAAAGAAAGAAAGAAAGAAAGAGAAAGAAAGAAAGAAAGAAAGGAAGGAAGAAGGAAGGAAGAAGAAGGAAGGAAGAAGGAAGGAAGGAAGGAAGGAAGGAAGGAAGGAAAGAAAGAAAAGAAAGAAAGAAAGAAGGAAAGAAAGAAAGAAAGAAAGAAAGAAAGAAAGAAAGAAAGAAAGAAAGAAAGAAAGAAAGAAAGAAAGAAAGAAAGAAAGAAAGAGAAAGAAAGACACAAGAGAGATGATTGCTCTTCCTCACCATCATACAAGGATACAAGCAAGAAGGTGTCCTTCTACAAACCGGGAAGAGGACCCTCACAAACTACAGTTTATTATAGAAACTGAAGGCAAAGGACAGGCATTTGAGGGGCAAGACTGCATCCCTTAATATACTGGCCACTCCCTGGTCTCTGACTCTCTCTTAAAGCAAAACAAATATAACCTTAATATTTGGAGGAGCCAATGAGGGATAGAAATATATTACAAGAAACAGTTAATCCATTCTATAAAGCCATTACATACAATTGAAATATTAATATTGATTTGGTTACATTTCCCCCCTTCATATACCACTATTTGTATCTTGTGATAAATTTGTGCAGAACTATTTAGCATAAAACTTAGCTTATGATTAGCTAACTCCAGTTCTTCCACAAGGCAGTCATTTTCCATCAACATTACATCCTAAGGAGCCTTTAACCCCATTTCCCAATACATTGACCATCAGTATCAGTCTTACAACCTTATCAGCAATACCAGTGTCATACCATTTTTGCAGAATGGTAGTAGATGAGATCTGAAAAGTAAAAATCAACAGATCTTGGCACATTACCACAGTCTCACTCAGTCATTAACAGTTGATTCAGTTTATCATAATTTCATATGCCCAAAATGTCTCCCAGAGCAATGCCACTCAGGTTGGTAGGCTTCCATTCTGGTTTGTCAGGTTCCAAAAGCAGAAGTGGTCTTGGCAACACATGGCCTCACCCTTTCAGGCATCTGGTATGATTGAGCTAAGAGAGACAATATCATCTCTTGCTTCGAGTCTCTCTTGAGGTGCAAATGTAATATTGGATTTTCCTCATTACATAGCTCATTTATTCATTCATTTATCCTCAACTGCATTCCTCCTCTCTCCCTTTATCTTTTGACCCATCCTTTGCCACCTTTGAGAGATGTGAGGTTCAGCCACTATCCTGATCCAGATGTCCAGCAACAAGATTAGTCCAGCAGGTGTCACCCCTTCAGTTCACTCTTGCTGACATAGGGTAGGGTTAGAGAGACACAGAACTAGTGGGACATTATTACCACTAGGCAATATTGTTGCAGTCATTGTCAACCCCAATTTTGCAGGATGGCATGAGGGCACAATTCATTTCATCAGGATCTTAGGAATTCTGATTCAAAAGTTTCAAAGTACAATTACAGTTTCCTGCTTAGGGATCATCCCTGACTCCTGAATCTGCAGTCACAGCTCTGGTGCTGGGATCACTACATCAAGTAGGAAAAAAGAAAATTGAAATGATGTAGCAAAAAAAAATTGAGGTGATCTGGAGAAGAATTGTAATCAACTTGTCAGCTATGGGAGGACCCTTTCCCCAAGAAATCTGTCCCATAGCCATCTGCAGTCTCTGTCTCTTTTAGTGGCACACGGAACAGGTCTTGTTGGCAATTTCTGCAAGAGGAAAATGGCTGGATTCAGCTCATCTCTGCATTGCTGTAATACTTCCACATCCTTTCATTTCAGAGACCCAAGTAGCCACCTCAAGTAGCAAACCAGGATATATTCCTGCCAATTCTACTTACTTTCTGAGCCTAGAAAGGAGCTCTTCTTGTGGGCATCAACATGTCCTATTTTAATGCACTCCTTAAATATTCAGGGGTATATTTTAATATATTAGTCACCCCCGGTCTCTGACCAAGTCTTTCTTAAGGGAGACCTGCCTAATTTCCATAAGGTCATGCCATTGCCCATCTACTTGACCATATAGCCAGGCCACTGGCCACTACTCATGAGTCAGTAAAAACCCAAACCTAAAGATTCTTTTACTGTTGTTCAATTCTCCCATTACTGCCAGGAAAACAGCATGTAATTCAGTCTGTTGAGTTAATTTGTTACCTTCTTCAAACAGAGCCTTTCAATCTGCCAGTCTTAGTGTGGTGGCCTTCCAAACAGGATGCCATTCATCCATCTTGGAACTGTCATCTACAAACCAAGCAGCTCTTTGGTTAATACAGATCTGTGTTTGTTGGTTAATGCAGATCTGTTAACAGGGCACTGTCCAGGTGGTGATAGGATCCAGCAGCCTCTCAGGTGGTTTTGAGGTAGGATAAGTAAGGTTAGGAAGCCATATTGACTTGTCCTCCTGTGTGGAGTCCTATGGGCTTTTCTCACAGCAGACTCTGCATCCCTTGCAAACTCATGCATCAGCACCTAACATATTATGCAAGATAAGCAGTCCTCCAGGATACCAGCAGCTGCCAGATAGTCACAAGTTCCTGATACCCAGTACAGCCTGGGAAAGAGAACAAAAGCCCCTTATTCCTGATGTGGCTTCCCCAATCTCCAGCCAATCAAATTTCTGCCTTAAGGGAAATAGGCACTTCTCGAGGGTCCTGCATGTGCAGCTAGGCTCAGGTTTAGCTTCTAGTGACCTTTTCCTCATTTTTATAGTAAAAAACACACCCCTAGGTGGAGATTTTATATGCTAATGATAAATGTGACCCATGTTAGAGCATGTAGATACTGAGCACACATGCCAACCGCAGGTCTGCCTTTGCATACTTGACCTCACCAGTATTTTATGAATACTCATGGTGTACTTTCGCTTTGGAATAAACTTCTTTGCCTACTTACTTTGGATTCACTCTGAAATTCTTTTGTGCGGCAAAGTCAAGAACCTGAACCAGCCCACTGACAACAGTTCCAAAGTCAGTGGTAGAGGGAAAGAGCCTACCTGCTTGTAGATACAATGAGTCCCTCTGCATTCCCCCAGTAACATGTTCCTATAGAACCCATTTCCATTTTATCATGGAACATGTCCAGACACTGCCTTCTTTATTAGAGTTTTCTCTGACATCACCCGAGACATTATGGGTATTTCAGGTTTCAGGAGTATTTTACATCCTTCAGTCATAGGGTCATTCTCCATTAATTCCCAATAGCAAACTAGTAGTTGTTTCTCTACTGGCATATATGGTAAGCCATGCCATCCAGGAACGTTCTGGTACAAAATTCCATTGGCCCCCTCTGGGTGGCACTCATAAGCTTTTGCAATAACCTCCAGCCTGCGTAAGTATGTTACAGAGACTTCCAAAATCATGTATGAGTGTGGAGCATAAGGGCCCAAAAGCATCCAGAGAGAAAATACTTTTCACACTTCTGACATGGCCTGATTTTGTTTGGGTCTGCATTCGGGTATGGCCCTCTTTGGGGGTAGTTGTATGGATAAAATCTAGCAATATACCCAAGGTAGAATATGCATCCTTCAAAACTCAAATCTACCACACAAATGTTGAACTAGATTATAACTAACTTTCTTAGTTAGATCTAGGAATAGATATTGACAGCAGTTTGTAGTCACCTGTGTAATGTCATGGGTGGCTCCTACCCAGGTTATTCCTAAGAATTTCACCAATTGAGCAGGCTCTTTGACTTTTGCAGGAGTTATCAACAAGCCTCTGCTGGTCAAGTGTGTCATCCCCCATTTGGGTCAGTCCACCCTGGTCTTCAGTTTCAGACGTTATCATGATATCATCAATATAGTGTACTATTCCACTCAGAACCTGCATCAATCCAAACCTCCTCTCACCAGTTTATGACAGTAGCTGGTGAATTCAAATAACCCTATAGTAATTCAGTAAATATAAATTGGAATCATCGTCACAAAAAGGCAAACTCCAATTTATTCTTTTCTAGGATTGAGACAGAAAAAGCATTTGTAAGATCAATCAAAAAGCCACTAACTACTACCAGACAGGACATTCTAAGGGCTTAGAGACCACCTCCCAGAAGCTGAGAGCAAAGAGGGGAAAAAAAGGTGATCAGACATCTTTTTGGATAAAGTTAAATTATTTATTATACAGTGAGTCTCAAGCCTTATTGAAAACCATCAGGAAAACTGTAGAACAAAATTTAACAGTATTTTCCTTCCTTTCCACACAAGCATATTGCAGGGTGAGGATCCTGTCTCTGAATCTGTACATTCTGCTCATCCTGAGAATTTGACTGAGAAAAGAGGAAGAACTTTGTGAAGTAAATCACATGAGATTCCCTGATCTGCCCTAGAAAAGTATTGGATTTCTGTAAGAGGATCCTACCACTCATAAGAAAGCAATGAACAATCTGCTGAAGTTTTCAAATTCTTACACGTGTAAGCAAGCTTTCTTTTGTTTAACAACCATCAAGAACTGGGACAGATATTGCCTCGTTTCAGGTGAAAATGATATCCATGTGTGCTTATCACGAGTTTGGCCCGGAATTCAGTACGTATTTGTGCAGTTAAAAGTAAGAATGTGTTTTAGATAAAAGATGTGAATTTCATTCTATATTTTTAACCTCAAAAAAACACTTTATATGTACACATAAGCCTATAAAGGAAATCAAGAAACTAATATATGTGCATAATAATTTTGCATCTGCTAGACTTTTATTTGACCTTTATCATGTCACTTAGTGGAAAAAAATTCAAAGCTTTAATAAAATAATGTCTTAAACTATATTCTTACTCATTTTGCTTTGACTTGTGATTAATTGCTTTACTATTCAATACTGGCAAAAACTTTTATATAGTAAATAACATTAATTAAAATAACTTTATAATCCTTATTTAGATAAACCTACCAAGCTGACATTTCAAAAATTCATTTGCTTTTTGGTTTAAGCCAGTTATTTAAAAGAAATATACTATGTTTACCTTAAGGGTTTTTAAAATGTATGAAAAAGAAAGACATTAATTTTAAAAAGCTATCCAATCATTAGCTACCTGATTCTAGTCAACACAGATTGGCTAAAAAAATTGTTAGCTTTAAATAGGAGAAATAATTACTCTTGCGTATATCATGTACCATGTCCCATACCTCATTAGTGCATCTTATACTATGAATGTGTGATAAAACTTTGAAGCCTACTTGGACAAAATTTTTCAAAAATCAGTAGGAATTTATTAAAAGAAGAAACTGAAGTCTCCTCACCTACGTGACTGACTTGTAGTAGAAGAGGTATGCTTTGTGGGGCAGAGGGGAGGGGGACCACAGAAAAAGAGTGGCTGATAGATTGGCTACAGTAAATAGATCCACTGAAAAATATCAGTCCCTATAAAAAATAACACTGACAAATAATAGTAGGTTATTATATCCATAGCTTACTCTCATAACAATGATCCATAGCTTTAGATGTAATTGGGTTTATGCAGGGATTCCTGGAGAACTGAAAATTAACTCAAGCATTTCTTCAAAGTAGAAAGATTGAGAATGTACTAGAACCTACTGCCACTGTGTCAGTGTGACTTGGGTTTCTGTGCCTTCTCGTTTGCTCACATTCTGATCCTCGAGGACTGTGAAGAGCAAAGGTCTACTGACCACTGACCTCAGGCCACTCAAAAGGCAGGATCCACTAATGACATCGTTTTGCACAAGTAGAGCACTAGTGCCCAGTTGGGCATCAGCTTCACTGCAGGATTGAAACATGACTGCTAGTCTCCCTGTATTCTTATGAGCGCCTTCCATCAAAAAGCACAGAATGGCTCTTAAATGAGGTAAATATACCATGTGCTGATTCAAAAATATCTCTGAGACACATTAACATGAAAAAGACAAGTTAACAAATGATATATAGCATGTAAATACATTTATGTAAATGTACCAAATTATGTAATTATATGAATTCCTGTCTATATGTTCAGAGACACAGAGGGGAAACTAAAGGTTGTGATATTATGACATAAGAAATTTATATTTTGATCTTCTTTCCCAGCTATTGGCCATACCTCCTAAAACCTTTGTAATTGTCAAAGCCGTAAAGGTGCTAGGAGTATCTTTTGTTCTAATATTTGATTTTTGACCCCAGTTTCAGACACAGAGATCCTAAATCCCTTGGAATTTCCTGTGTGACAAGAGCATGTTTTCTTCTAATGAGGTGACTCTTGCTGGGCTCCTTAATGAGGGCTGGTCTCCAGGAAGACTAAGCCGTGGTTAGAAGCTTGGAACTTTCAGCTCCACTCCCATCCTGAGTGAGGGGAGAAGAGATAGAGGTTGAGTTAATAATTGATCATGCCTACATGAAGTCTCCATAAAATCCCTAAAAGACAGAGTTCAGAGACCTCCTGGGTTGGTGAACACATCCATGTGCCCAGAGGGCAGTGCACCCCAACTCCATGGGGACTGAGCCCCTGCTTTCAGGACCCTTGCTGATCTTGCTCTATATATGTTTTCATTTGGCTGTTCATATCATATCATCCTCTATCATATCCTTAATAATAAACCAGCAAAAGTGTTTCCCTGAGTCCTGAGAGCCAACACAACAAACTGTCAAACTTGAAGAGGAGGTCCTGGGAACCCTCCATCTGTAGCCAAGGCTGACAGAAGTGCCGGTAACTTGGGGATTCAGTGCTTGCAATTGGCTTCTGGAACCGGGACAGTCTTGTGGGACTGAGCCCTTAACCTGTACAAACACTAATTCCAGGTAGTTGGTGTCACAATTGAACTATAGATGCCTAGCTGGTGTCCAAAGAATAGGAGAATTGGTTGGTGTGGGGGGAGTGTTGGGGGAAGCCACTCATTTGGTCACAGAAGTGTTGAAAGTGTTGATGGTCACAAAGAAAATTTTTTGTTTTCCTCTTTAGGGCAAATTGTGGGGATGGGGTGTGTCAGGGAAAGAACAGAAGGGAAAAATTGCCTCATTAAGAGCTATGAAAAGGAAAGGAATTTTAAGAAAAATAAGACTGCTAAATATAGCAAATAGGATGAGAGCTGCTATATACAAAATTACAAAATTAACAAAGTTACATACCCAGCATATGTATACCAATTTACAGTTGTCAAAACATTTTCACATATATATTCATGTATATATACTTGAATATATATATTCACATATATATTTCACATATATATTCATATATATTCATGTGTATATTCATGTATATGTGTATATATATAATTTTATGTGATATCCCTAGAACTTTTCTACCTAAAGATGGAGAACACTCCTTCCCTCCTGGTGCAGGAACACTGAGTTATACCTTCAAGACCTGAGTCACATTACTATTTGTTCTGAATTTTAAAAAATCAAAAAGCCAAACAAACACTGACAAGACTAGGTTCTAATGCCAACTACTTTGTCAAGGATGCAAACCACTTTTCTACTTAAAAGAATGTACAGAAGCTCTTTAGTTTAATTAGATCCCATTTGTCAATTTTGGCTTTTGTTGCCATTGCTTTTGGTGGTTTAGACATGAAGTCCTCGCCCATGCCTATGTCCTGAATGGTATTACCTAGGTTTTCTTCTAGAGTTTTTATGGTTTTAGGTCTAACATTTAAGTCTCTAATCCATCTTGAATTAATTTTCGTATAAGGAGTAAGAAAAGGATCCAATTTCAGCTTTCTACTTATGGCTAGCCAATTTTCCCAGCACCATTTATTAAATAGGGAATCCTTTCCCCATTTCTTGTTTTTATCAGGTTTGTCAAAGAACATATGGTTGTAGATGGGTGGTATTATTTCTGAGGACTCTGTTCTGTTCCATTGGTCTATAGCTCTGTTTTGGTACCAGTACCATGCTGTTTTGGTTACTGTAGCCTTGTGGTATAGTTTGAAGTCAGGTAGCATGATGCCTCCAGCTTTGTTCTTTTGGCTTAGAAAAGAACTCAAACAAATTTACAAGAAAAAAACAAACAACCCCATCAAAAAGTGGGCAAAGGATATGAACAGACACTTCTCAAAAGAAGACATTTATACAGCCAACAGACACATGAAAAAATGCTCATCATCACTGGCCATCAGAGAAATGCAAATCAAAACCACAATGAGATACCATCTCACACCAGTTAGAATGGCAATCATTAAAAAGTCAGGAAACAACAGGTGCTGGAGAGGATGTGGAGAAATAGGAACACTTCTAAACTGTTGGTGGGATTGTAAACTAGTTCAACCATTGTGGAAGACAGTGTGGCGATTCCTCGAGGATCTAGAACTAGAAATACCATTTGACCCAGCCATCCCATTACTGGGTATATACCCAAAGGATTATAACTCATGCTGCTATAAAGACACATGCACACGTATGTTTATTGCGGCACTATTCACAATAGCAAAGACTTGGAATCAACCCAAATGTCCATCAGTGACAGACTGGATTAAGAAAATGTGGCACATATACACCATGGAATACTATGCAGCCATAAAAAAGGATGAGTTCGTGTCCTTTGCAGGGACATGGATGCAGCTGTAAACCATCATTCTCAGCAAACTATCTCAAGAACAGAAAACCAAACACCGTATGTTCTCACTCATAGGTGGGAATTGAACAATGAGATCACTTGGACACAGGAAGCGGAACATCACACACTGGGGCCTATTGTGGGGGAGGGGGGAGGGATAGCATTAAGAGATATATCTAATGTAAATGATGAGTTAATGGGTGCAGCACACCAACATGGCACAGGTATACATATGTAACAAACCTGCACATTGTGCACATGTACCCTAGAACTTAAAGTACAAAAAAAAAAAAAAAGAATGTATAGACTGACAACGGTGAAAGCCAGATAAAGGTAGGCATACTTTGGAAAGAAATTGCCTGGAATAGAAGCAGTTTCTACACATTTAAGCCTGACTCCAAAACTGTCAGTGGAAGCCTGTATCTTGCTGACAAGTCTTAGACATGTAATATTTGAAAAAGAACAGAAACCTCCTATATCATGGTCTTTGGAATAGAGACCAGGAAAATGGTAGCCAAGAAAACCTGTTCAGAGTAGCCCAGGCTGAGATTGGGGAGGTGCGCTTGAAGGCAGGACCAGGCAAGAGGCTCTGTAGTTAACTTGGTTTCCCACCCTCAGCCTGCATTTAGACACCCCACTAACTTCAGTGTTCATGTTGGATTAGAATACAAAAGTGCTCGAATTTTAGTTCACAACACATATCCAATTCATAACCGAATTCATAAAACATTATGGCTTAGAAGTTAAGAGCATGGGAGCCTGGCCATCATGGTGAAAACCTGTCTCAAAAAAAAAAAAAAAATATATATATATATATATATATAAATTAGCCAGGCATGGTGGTGCATGCCTGTAGCCCCAGCTACTCAGGAGGCTGAGGTGGGAGAATCGCTTGAATCCGGGAGGAGGAGGCTGCAATGAGCTAAGATGGCACCACTGCACTCCAGCCTGGGCAACAGAGTGAGACCTTGTCTCAAAAAAAAAAAAAAAAAAAGTAAAGAACATGGGGTTTAAAGACAAATCTATGTGTTAATGAATAATGATTATATTTGTTGGGCAGGTTATTTAACTTGTATATGACTCAGTTTCCTATATGCCAAGCAGGGATAGTACCACCCACTTCAATGGGCTTGCATGAAGATGAAAACACCAAATGAACCTGAGTTTGGTACATAGAATACACTCCCAAAAAATGGACTAATAATAGAAACAACTGCTCTAGAACTCTCCTTAGGAAAAAAGAGCCTGATTTCCACAGAGAACAAACATCAGCTGTGCTACACACCTGCTTTATCCAGCTAAATCTCAGCTTTGTCTCCCGGGATCCCAGAACACAATCCTCATGATCCCATAAGAGGCTCAAGGCATCTACAGGGGACAGACATTAAGACAGAGATGTGACTTTTTTTTAACTTTTATTCTAGGTTCAGGAGTACATGTGCAGGTTTGTTATATAGGTACATTGCATGTCACAGGAGTAGTTTTTCCAGCCTCACCCTCTTTCCACCCTCCGCCCTCAAGTAGACTCTGATGTCTGCTGTTCCCTTCTTTGTGTCCATATGTACTCAATGTTTAGCTCCCACTTATAAGGGAGAACATTAAGTATTTGGTTTTCTACTCCTGCATTAGTTTTCTTAGGATAATGGTCTCCAGCTCCACGCTAGTTGCTGCAAAGGACACGATTTTGTTCTTTTTACTGCAACATAGTATTCCATGGTGTATATGTACCATATTTTCTTTATCCAGGCCACTTTTTTTTTTTTTTTTCCTGAGATGGGGTCTCACCCTGTCTCCCAGGCTGGAGTACAATGGCGCGATCTCAGCTCACTGCAATCTCCGCCTCCTGGGTTCAAACGATTCTCCTGCCTCAGCCTCCCGAGTAACTGGAATTGCAGGCGCCCGCCACTACGCCCAGTAATTTTTTTTTTTTTTTGTATTTTTAGTAGAGACAGGGTTCACCATGTTGGCCAGGGTGCTCTCTCCAGCCTACCATTGATAGGCATTTAGGTTGATTCCATGTCCTTGCTATCGTAAATAGTCCTGTGATAAACATAGGTGTGCATGTGTCTTTATAGCAGAATGATTTACATTCCTTTGGGTATATACCTAGTAATAAGGTTGCTGAGTTGAATGGTGATTCTGTTTTTTAGGTTCTTTCAGAAATCATCAAACCACTTTCCACATTGGCTGAACTAATTTATAGTCCAAGCAGCAGTGTACATGTTTCCCTTTCTCCGAAAAGAGGTGTGTTTTTTTAAGAGACTAAGAAACTCCAAATAATGAATGGCTATCTATCATATTCAATGACTCTGGAGAAGTATAAAATATAAATTGTGCCCTTAAGATATTGTCAGCCTGATGGCAGTGGGAGGAGGGGCAGGGGAAACCCTGAAAGTTGGGTTGGAGAGACAGCCATGTAAAACCAAGTAGATGTATTTATAAGGCTTCCCTGCAGAAGGGATGGCTTTGTTCAGTCTGAGGGAAGAGTAGGAACAATCCAGGGAATGAGAAGATGCAAGCATGAAATGCAAGAACATTGTTATGTTTGTAGTAGAAGGAGCTTGTGAAGGCAAAGGGAGAGGAGTCAGGAACAAATCAACAAAGTCCCAGTATGGGAAGGCAAGAAATGTACATTTTATCATCAAAGCCAAGGGAGAGCCATGGTTGAATCTCCACAATGAGACGAACTTGATCAGCTTTTCACCTTGGAAAGGTTCCTCCAGCTTAGTTTTGAAGTAAGAGCAGAACAGAAGCTACAACTACACTCCAGGCAAGACAGATGACCACT